TTTTTCCTGACTATAAATGTAACCCATAATTCTTAATCATACTATAATAATAACATTTATGCCCTTATTTCTCGGTTCAACGTTGAAGTGAGTCTGGCCAGCCCCAGCTGTCAGCCTTGGTCAGGTGCTTCTTCACGACCAAAAGGTTTGGCGTGTCTTAGGAGGCAATTGTGTGCACTTGCTGCAAATGGCCATGTTTTGCAGACCGCGCATCCTGGGTATCGAAAATGTGCCGGGCTTGAACAGGCATCGTCATTGGCCCTGGTTGGCTTCTGCATTCAGAGCCATTGGGTACTCTTTTGTGCATCAGGTCACGGAGGACATTGCTCAGTTGATTCCACCCAAAGGGGAGTATTTCCTCTTGCTCTGTATGGGGCAGACACACAGTATTTGTGTGCAAGGGAACTGCAATTCTGCCATCAAATCGGTCATCATTGGGCCATGGCGTAACGCCTCGGGCCTGTTGACATGTCATGTTCTTACCAAACAGGTTTTTGATCCGCTCGTCTTTATTCTTTTGATTATCTTCTCCCTTGTAAGGAGTGCTGTTGACGTTGATGCATCCATTGCAAATCAGTTCATTCGTATTGTGTGTGAGACTGATAAAGACTGCAGCCGTTGCTATGGGCCTGCCTCAGCCTGTGCAATGTATCTGCAAAAGGTAGGGTGGCACCTTGATGATGAAGGTAACTTGCATGGCCCACCAGGCACCACTGCAGTTCACATTTTCACCACCTCTCGCCGTGAACTTAAAACTGCTTTCCTTCAATGGTGGGATACATACGTGTGGCAGCATCAGCAGCATCGCAGGGGAGTGCCAGTCATGCCGTGGTCTAGAGAACTCACCTTGACTATCCTTGAACCTCTGACTGACAGGGACCTTGCTTTTTGCAGCACCTCGTATTGTCTCTGCCTTTCTTAGCAGTCAAGCTAAGCAAAATGCGGGGTATCTTGATGCTGATGCCACTTGCCCCTTTTGTGGGGAACCTGAGACCACCAACCATGTTCTTGTGCATTGCCCAGCTTTCCTTCCTCTCCGGGAGGAACATCCACGAGCTGTCACCATTCGTGCACGTGAACATCCAGTGGCAGCAGGTCCCAGTTATTGCGCCTTCGTCTGGTGTTCGCTGCCTCCGCATGTTAGTTGAGGGATTACCAGTTGACTTGCAATTTGATATCCCCTGTGTTGAAGGTGAACGCCTTGTCTTCTTTACAGATGGTTCCTGTATTAATGCTAAACTGCCTTTTGCCCAACGGGCCAGTTGGGCGGCAGTGCATTCCAAGTTGTCGGATGACCAAGCCATTGCAGGTGCAGTGCTTGGATCTCACGGCACCAGTACATTCACTGACAACTTTGTGTGTGCGGCTTGTGGATTGACACCAGGCCGCCAGACGTTTGACCGTAGTGAGCTTGCAGCGATTTGCTCGATTGTCCTCAGTATTGCAATATCCGCTATTGCCTTGCCAGTGCATGTTGTGTCGGATTCCAAATACGCTCTGCATGCACTTAGTCTAGTCTCTGAGTGGTTTGAAAATGGTATTGGCCCTTTGCGAAAAATGCAGAATCAGGATCCTAATGCGCCACTGGCGCCCTGGGAATATCACTTGGGAGAAAGTCAAATCTCATCAGCATGTGAATGATGCTAAGTGTGCCCGTGATCTTTGGTTGATTATAGGTAATGACATGGCAGATCGACTTGCTGCTTCCTCTTTGGTGTTTGACTCAGCCATGACACGTGACGTGTCCAATAATATCCTTAAGGAGTGCTCTGCTTTGTGTACAGACTATCAGTGTGTCATCCGGTACATTGTGCAACTTGACCAGCATAGGATTACTCTGCCTGAAGTGAGGCGAGCGCAGGCCCCGCGTAGAGCTACAGAACTTGCCCAGACTCTGTTTCAGGAAGCCAGTGATCAACCTGATTCCAGCACTTCTACTGCTGGGGCTGCCATCCTTCTTGTTCGAAACTGGACCGTTCTTGATCCAGTACACCTTGCATACCAGGCACTTGCCACGTCCATTGCCCGTGCGGTGCCGGCAGGCCAGGCCGCAGCACATGCTGTGTGGTTTTGGATGCATTTGATCGAATGGCCATCAAACTTGGAACCGCAAAAAGGTGATCCTGGCATCACCGTTATTGAGCTTCTTTGTAATTTTCTGTTGTGTACTGGGACCCGGTTGCCAGTTGTATTTCACCGTCACCACATCAAAACTCATGCTGGTATGCTCCCCCCAAGTGCCCGTCAAGTTGGTTATCAGGCGGAAACTCTGCTTACCATCATGCAGCAGCTTGTCGCCATGACTCGTGTTTGTACCTTGCCTAGTTTTCAGCAGAACAGTCTGCACGAGAATCCACTTCACTTCCCACACGCAAGTCGGTTGTTGTTGCAGTTCACCCACAGATCCCTTTCCTTGAAGCTACTCTGAAGTTGTTGGTCACATACAACTGCACTTGTACCTCGGATACGGCCGGTGGTCCGATTGAGCTTCCGGCCGGCCTCGCTTCGTACGAGCCGAAGACCCTTGAGATGGATGACTTGCCAACTCCTCAAAAGGAAATGGCAACTCGTGAAACACAGGAAGATGGCGCGGCAATAGTCCCTCTTGGCCTCTTCCGCCGTTAGTGTGCTTTGTGTACTGGTCTGCCCAACCCGTTTGGGGTTTGATACAACCCGTTTGGGTTTGATACTGTTGGGGTTTGATACTGGTTTGCCCGTTGGTTTCCTGAGGACCCCAAACCCTAACCCAAAAAGGGGCTGAGCAGGCTCAGGGAGTTCCACCTCAGCCTGCGCAATGTTTAAAACAAATTTGTTGCTCTAAAAAAAGGGGGCGTGAGCAGGATCAGTCAATTCCGACGGAGCCTGCTCAAACAGCCTTTTCCCTCCAATCAGTGAGAGCTTTCTTCAGGATCAGGGACAAGGTTTCTTTAGAACGAGGCCTGCACAATGTCTAAAAACTGTTTTTTCCCGAAAAAAAAGTCGATGGTCCTGGGTCCCAGAGGCCCCAGGAAGTCGTCCAGCTGCTTCACAGCTGCCGGCCTGGGTCGCACTCACGTGCAGTGAATATCCCCGAGCGAAAAGAATGCTACGCTATTTCCTCCCCCCCTCACCTGTTTAAATAAGGGAATGCGCGGCTTGACGCGGGCCACGCAAGTAGGACTGGCGTAGTGCTGCTGAATAAGAGACCGCGCGCGAGACCTTCACGTTTGCGCAAGCCTCCCCACAATCTGCAGTCGGCTGCTGCATTGAAGGTGTTCTTGTTGTAGTCTTGGCTGAGTTCCCTCCTGGACCGGCCTCCCCAGCAGTCGGCTGGAAGAGGTCGTACTCGCGAACCGTTCCTTCCTGGGTGGGCGGGATTAGCGAGCCGAAAGGCTGATTCCTGCGGGCGCCCAGCCTTCGACTTGGGTCCCAGTCTTCACAAGATGCCACCGGTCTGCAGTACGCGGAAGGCTCATAGGGCCCGCCCCCCCACGCAGCCGGAGCAGCGCGCATCGAGAAGCAAAAGGAAGCTTCACATCCGCGTCACTGCGCAAACTGCTGTCCGACTCCCGGAGAAGTTCCATGAGGTTGCAGCCGATTCTGCCTCGTCTCATGACCGCGTTTCATTTGGCACCGGGGCACGGGAGAAACATTGTGAAGCACATCTGGCACAAACCGAATGCAGCAGAGTATGGCACATGTCAAGGCAGTCTGGTCCAAACCGAACGCAGCTGAGCTGGAGAGCTCACGCCAAGCACCTCCAAGGCAGCTGGAGGGACTGGAGTGGTCTTCGGGCAGGAGGTGGTGAAGGGCACGGTCACCACAAAGGAGCACTCTCGAGAGACGGTAGCAATTTGAGGCACGAAGGATGTGTATCGTCCATTGTCAATGTGCCGTGGATGTTGACGGATTTCAGCGGGTTGCAAAACCTGCCGGAAATTTTCAATGCTGTACCATCTCAAATGAGGGGGGTGTGGATTCAGGTTCCAACCCTATGCATGTGTGCGCTCCGCCTGCCATATAGACTTCAAGATCACTGGAAGCAGTGTGAAAAGGTAGTCAACGGTTTGCTGCTGCCTAGGTCTTCCCCATAGGTGGCCTAGGCTTGATAACACAGCGCCGCCAAGGTCTCGCTGGCATGGGGCGGCATGCAGTGTGCCGATATGCCAGGCGTGAAAGCTGGCCATTTCTGACAAACAAGCCAAATATTCAGTCAAGATCGCAAAGGCCTTAGCGGCTCAGGAAGTTCTTCGTGAAATTGCTTATGCATGCTTGCCATGCATCGTGCTGGGCGATGGCCTCTCCGAGGTAAAATCTCCGAGGTCGTGATTTTTTGTGCAATCATATCAACTGTTGTGATAGAACGTCAGGAGACAGACGCTGAGCAATTTCATTGGCCGGTTTTGGCAATTTGCACCCATGGCATAGGCTGTGGTTCCTGGCCGTTTCTTCGTATTTTCACTTTGCATCGATGCAATGCAGAACAGTCGGGGATTGTGTCTTTCTCAAGGGGAACGCCGCTACCAGTAGACAACGAGCCGTGCCACAAGACACAACCCCTGGCCCTGCGAAAGTTTTAGAGCTGCTTCGGCAGCTAAAGTTCAAGCGGGGTTCTGCTATGCACCCTGCTGAAAGCACTGATGTTAATTCGAAGCTGTGAGATTGTGTTTCTTTGCGATTGTGCCGTGGATTGAATTTAGCTCCCTGGAACACCGTTGATAGGACGAGGCTTTTCGACGTCAACCCTGGCGCATGCCCATGGTTTTTTAACTTGCGATTTTCGTGATTGGTCTTGTCATCCTACAGAGGCTTAAGTAGTGAGATCCACAGATTAAGATCATCAGTCACAATGCGAGAACTGTCTCCTTTACGCTGGTTTTGTTTCTCGAATGCCGGCTGCCTCTCCCCAGAGGGGTGCGTGCCATGCGTGGGCACCATGATGCTGATGCCTGACAGGAGAGCAACGCATTCTGACCCTTGCATTGAGTCACAGCGATTTGAGTCTTGCCACTTCAACACCATGCCAGGAAGAGCCATGGCGTTTGGAGGCGCTGCACGTGACCACCCGCAAAAAGAAAAGCACCGAGTCTCGCGTCAGGAAGGCCGGCCAGGGCTTCCAGCCATTCCGGCAACTCAGCGATGCTCGGCTGTCAATAGATGTAAGGCAGTGTCATGTCTCCACGCCCTCCACGCCCTCCACGCCTCAGCGCAGGCCCAAGGCCGCTGGCCGCATCCGCAGTACCACTTCCAGTCGGCAGGTGCGCTTGAGGTCTTCGGGAGACTCCGACCCTTTCTCTTGCCAGGCCCAGAGCATCCACAGCTCTCAAAGCGTCAGTGCCCAAAGTGCCCAGAGCGGGCGCCCGTAGGTCGCTCAGAGTGAGATGCCAACTGTGACAAGTGAGCCAAGAGACTTCGAGGCGAAGCGCCCGCTCGGGCCAGGCGTCTGGCCCCGGCCAGGCGTCAGGGCCCGGCCCCAGGCCCCGGATCCCAGGCGCAGCTCGCTTCGTGTGCCGTGAGCCGCGTGAGCCGCGTGAGCCGCGTGAGCCGCGTGCCGCTCTTTCACAGGCGGGGATGGTGCTTCCAGAAGCAGAAGTCCGGAGGCCAGCAGCGAAGCTTCCGGAATCCCAAACTTGGGAATCAGTGCCGGAAGCCGAAGGTGTCTTTGCTCCCCGTGCAGGACCCCGCGCCCGCGCAAATGCGCTCTCTTATTGCAGTGCCTGTGTCAGGAGTTGACAGAAAGCATCGTGTCCCAGATCATGGCACGGCGGCCTGATTCCAAGTTGCTTTTGTGGAGGCACTTGCATGGAGACATCACAGATCAGCCAGATGCGAGGGTTTGCCTTGAGATTTGGACCAGGATAGTCCAGGAGTCAGACCTGGAAGATCTTCGCTTCAATGTGTTGCTCGACTGCAGACCAAGAGGCTGTTGGCTCAAGGCATTACCTTGCGCCCGAGCATGCGCCCCCAACTCTTTGATCCAAGGATGTCTGTCCTGCAGCCAGCCCTCAGAAAGAGTAGTGCCCACCTTAGAGACGCTTTGGCAGCACTTGTGGCTTTTCGGTCTGAGGCTTTGAGGAGGTCCACCGGCTCTCTGCAGAACTGCAAGAGGTCTGGATTCGAATTGAAAGCTTCGGCTTGAGTTTATGTTTAGGCCCGGACCCGCACAGCTGCTGCTCGGACAGAGATATCCCGCTTGAAGTCAGAGGCTGGGACACCTGGGTGCTCTTGAATCGACTCAAATTCATGTCTGGAGGCGCAAATACTGGAGCTCAAGAGCACAGAGGCTGAGGAGAAAAGCAGGAGTTGCTCGCGAGTCAACGGGGTTTCCCAAAAGTCTATGCGACTTTCCTGTGAGGAGAGCAGAGACTCGAGCCGGCAAGGCGGAGGCTCGCCTGAAGTCTGCCTTGCAGGACCGGTGAGAGGCAGCGAGGAGCGCGTTCACCGTGCGCTGTGCTTGCTGCCAGGACCCGATGACGCTGAAATTTGGCTCCGAGACTGTCGAGGCGGGTTGGTGGAGAGGTGGGAGCGGTGGGAGCGGTGGGAGCGGTGGGAGTGGGAGCAGCGTCGCAGGTCCGGCCAACCACAAGGAAGGAGAAGGACACCGTCGGCCCGCTTCCAGAGCGCGGCAGTTTCACTGGCCCTGGGCCGCAGTCGCCCAGGCCAACTAGCGCCGACTGGTTCTTTGTGAAGTCTGCGAGGTTTTGGCAAATCGATGTAGCTGTGCAGGCGTTCCGTTCTCTCTGGTCAGCCAGCGGGCAGCCCGGGCACCTAGATGGAGCCAGTCTTGTAAGATCTTGCAAGCATGCTCCGCTCCACTCGCTCCACTCGCTCCACTCGCTCCACTCGCTCCACTCGCTCCACTCGCTCCACTCGCTCCACTCGCTCCACTCGCTCCACTCGCTCCACTCGCTCCACTCGCTCCACTCGCTCCACTCGCTCCACTCGCTCCACTGGCCACTTGCAGCTGCTTGCAGTTGCCTTAGGTGGGTCACCCGAAGCCAGCGAAGTTGGAGAGGCACGTCACGCCTCGGTTGTTTGTCCAATTTGTCCATTAGTTATTGTGTCCTTTCCACAGGGCGAAGAAGCCAGCCACCGCGCTCAGAGGCGGAGCAATGGAGCTGAGCATGCGCTTTACCAGCCATTGATGCTCCATGCTCATCCTTGATAGTATTTGGTAACACAAGCTGCGAGGAGGGGGATGTACATGCCTTTGGCCACGCCAAGCTGCCTATTTGTTGGGTTGCTTTGCTGGTTCGCTTGTTTGCGTTTGCTTCTCAATGTGCTAGTGTCTGCGTTCTTTTTTTCTTCTTCTCCTCTCTCTCTCTCTCTCCCTGTTTGTGACGGCACTGTTCTGCTGCATATGTGCCTTCAAGCAGCCAAGCCATCATGACAACTCCTTGCCTTTGATCCATGGATATTCTCTCTGCTGCTTGAGGCGCACAAGTCTCAATGTTATAAGATTAATTAACGAGGCTTTAAATTTTGACCGGTCCGCATTGGGAGAACTCCTCCGTCTTACCAACGAGCCTCACGCGTTAAGTTCACAACGCACACTAGATGCAACACGGAGAGGATTGGCTTCTACTTCTCATGAATGCTGGCTTCAGTGGCTGCCCTGCGAAGGACACGATAGACCGCAGACGAGGCAAGAACACTTTCGCGGGCCAACACCACACACCCTCACACAAAATGCCATATGTCCACGCCAAGGCTCCAGGAAAGCACTCAGAGAAACGCTCAGTGAGCAGAAAGTTGTAGTTTCAACTTAATTCAGAAATCGTACCGCCTTCAGCTGCACTTAGCACTTCGAAGCTCAATCCACTGCCTGCGATCTTTGCCCAAAGTCGTTGCCAGCCGGAGAGGCTGTTGGAGAAGCAGCGGAAGAAAGAGGAGGCGGATGCAGCCCGACGAGCAGCTGAAGAACGAATGAAGGTGCGTGGGAATGGACCGATGTTGGCCATGCCCAAATGACGTTGAAAGGATCAGAAAAAGAAAAAACAGGAGGAGAAGGGTAACAAGGAGTGCCGGGCGTGCCTTGCATCGCCAATTCCAAGACTGGTGATTTGTTGCAGGAGCACCTGACTGCGATGAAAGAGATGGGGGAGGCCAGGCCACGTCATGTTGACCCCAAAATGCGTTTGGATGTACAGGAGCTAAAGAAGGCCAAAGCGGCTGCCAAGGAAGCGGAGATGCTCAGGACAGCGGAACGGGGGCGGTGGAGCGTGCTTGATGGCTTTGGGCAGGATCAAGGGGGAGCAAGCCGAAGCAGCCGCCAAAGTAGCTGAAAAGGCCAAGGCGGCTGCGGAGAAGAGGCTTGCTGGCGCGGAGCAGGCCGCTGCTCCGCGCCGTGCGTGAAAATCGATTTTCCGAGCTGACCCAACACGTCCGACCTGACTTGGAGGGTTTGGACCGATCTGTGGCCACTTGTGGCAGGGCTGCCCAATTCTCTATGTCCGCCCTTCATGTCTCTCCTGCATGTCTCTCCATAGCTGTCACATAGCTTACCTTGACAGCCGTTACAATCAAGTATTGCCCCGTGGGTCGGTCAAAACTGTCGGATCGTTGCGGGCATGCGTCCAACATATTGGACCGGGCCACTGGCAAAGCTCCGCAATGCAAAGCACATCAGTCAGATACTGAAGGAAACCTCGCAGTCTGATCTGCTATAGCAGCTCTGCCATTGGGCTTGAACAAGGATGCCTGCAAGGACATCAGCAAAATACAGCCACGGGCATAGACTTCGTTTTTTGCTCCATACGGACTCAGCTACGATGCCGGGGATAGAGTGGCAACCAGTTTTGCTCCATACGGCCGTTTGCGATTACGCAGGTTCGCAGCTTCAGCGTAAAGACACGAATAAAAGAAGAGGAGCCGAGGAAACACAACAGTAAGAAAAGACAGACAAACCACCAACAAAACAGGCAAAACTAAATCCTTAATAAATCGCCCCCCCCCCCAAATACCCCTTCCCCCCCCCCCCCCCTCCGCCATAACGGGTTGTGTTATTAGGGTACCCGGGTTTTGGGCCAGAACTGTTTCAGGCTGCGTTGTTTAGTGCTGGCATCAAACGGGAAGGAGGATCCCTTTGATTTGGACAAAACATGTTCAAAATGCAATTTCCGAGTTAGAACTTTTAAAGGGAATGTGCCCTTGTTTTTTCCAAGAAGAAACCCCGCAACAAATCAAAACCCGGGTTTGTTTCAAAAAAGACCTGAGGGAACCCTATGGAGACCCGAATAAGACAGCCCCTGTCACGCAAGGCAACCCGGCGGTTTGAGGGAAAAGCTCTCAGAGTTCAACTTTTGAGCAATTAAGACCTTTTGGGGGGAACCCAAGGATAAATAACCTTGTTACGCACCCTTTGGTTTGCGGGAAAGCGTTCTCAGAATGATTGCAGCTTTTGAGTCACATCAGGGTGACCCCTAATAAGTACATCCGCCGAGTTTCGCTGTTTGGACAATGTAGTGCACTTCAGATCAGCTTTTGGCGTGGCGCTTGCACACGGCTCGTTCGAGCGCTACGCGCTTCCTGCAGGTGGTGCTCCGCACTCAGGGACGCTCTTGAGAAGCAGTTTTGCGAAGTGCAACGGCTGTTCTGGAACACTTGAGAGCAGCGTACCAGCAATCTTCAGAGACAGTATAGGGCCGCTTCGAGCGACTTGAAACAGTGTTCAGCTTCTTAATATACGTCATGTTGCAACATGCCCTGCAACATCTCGGCTGATGCTCTGAGAGAATGTTTCTGTTACGTTCACGCAAGACGCTGGGGCAATGATTTCGCGGCATTCTGAACGATACTGAGTGCTCAGTAGATGGCTTGTTCTCAGCAGAGTCCCTCGCCAAGTGCCGGGTGGTACGACAAAGCTGCTTAATCAATAAGGTACTGCTGACAAATAAAGATGAAGTAGGTGACGGTCGGCGTGAAGATAGGCTGCAGGATGAACCTATCCTAGGATTGACGTGTAGGCTCTCAATGACAGGGAACCCACATCGCGAGAGTTCAGGTAGGTGCGAGTAGTCTAATCCGTAGTCTGCTCATCCGCGTCATCCTCTACACAGCGGATTTCTTAGGAACACGACGAGCGTTCAAACAGTGCTATCCCTGCAGATGGTTTGCTTAATGTCAGCAATCTGTTGCGCCACAGGCAACAAGTATGTACAGTACAACAGTTGGCCAACCGTAACGCCGCGTAAGACTTCAAAGTGCAAAGCTGCACGTGCACACGTTGTTTTTGTAAATGCTCCGACGAGCGCTTTAAGGACCATTGGCGGGATGCACAGCAAGTCTTCCGCATGCAATTCTGAAATGCCTCAGCAAGCTGGAACACGCACAGAGGACCCTACAAGCGAACCCCAACTTGATAGCCAAGCCCCCCGTCTCTCTACGTGAAGTAAAGTTAATTATCCCGGCAAGGCAAGAGACCCCAAATAGTATTGGGTTTAATTTGATGACGGGTGGCCTGGAAGCATAGAAAGACGTTAAATAAAACACATCAATAGCAATGTCCCTTCGTAGCTTCTGCAAGTTCTGATGAGCAAGCTTGGCGCCGCGCTTCGAACAAATCTCTCGTTTTAATTTTTGTTGCGCGCTACGCTGTGTTTTGACGCTGCTGCGCGTGAAGCTAAGCGTGATGTTGTGCATGATGCTGAGCAGGCATGATGTTGCACATCATGCTGCGCGTGAGGTTGCGTGATGCTGCGCATGATGCTATGCGTGACGGTCCCTCCCGCGCATGATGCTGTGCAACCTCTCCCGCTCAACCTTTCATGTCCCTTTGTCTTGTCAACCTCTCTTGTCATATCTGAATGCAGTTTGGCTGCGCAAGAAGGCTGGCGGTTTTGGTTGCAGAAGTGTACTTGGCATACTAATTTTGCGATTGCAAGTTGCAACTTGTGAGCTGGAGATGCGAAAGCGCACTTTCCGAACATTACTTTCGCGCTTAAAAATGAAGTTGTGATGTTCGAGCTGGAGCCGCGAGAGTGCGCTTCGCACGCTGCCTTTGCGCGTAGACACTTCGACTCTTCAGCCGGAGCTGGGGCTGCTGCGGGAATGCGCTTCGCGGACAACTTTGGCCGGAGCCATGGGAACGCGCTTCGGGCACCGCTTTGGCACTGAAAAGTTGCGATTTTGCAGCCGGAGCAAGCTCTTCACGTACTTTTGTACTTAAATTTGCGACGATTTTGCAGCCGGAGCTCTGGCAAATTTTCAGCCGGAGCTGCGGGAGGAGTGCGCTTCGCGTACTACTTTTGTACTTACAACTTGCGGTTTCGTAGCCGCGTTTCGGGAATTGCTCTTCGCGCGCTGCTTCGGCGCTTGAAACTTGCGATTTGTCATCCGGAGCTGCGGGAGCGTGCTTCCCGCACTACTTTTTGTACTTGCGAATTTTTGTGCCGGAGCTGCGGAAGCGCGTGCTACTTTTTTGCTTAGAAGTTGCGATATTGCAGCCGGAGCTGTGGGTTTGCTCTTCGCGTGCTACTTTCGTAATTAAGAGTTGCGATTTTCAAGCCGGAGCTACCGTGGACCAGGCAGGTGGAGCCCGAGACGCGCACGATCGTGAAAGCAGACGCGCGAACCGCGAGACAACTTCCAAACACCGGTTCGCGCAAAGAAAACGAACGGCGCCGCAGCGAGAGCGCCTCGACACGCAAGATCTCCGCAGAGGGTTCGCCGAGAGCAAGACGCATTCGCGTGAGAGCGCTTCGGCACGCAGGATCTCCGCAGAGGGTTCGCCGAGCTCAAGACAAATTAGCACGGCGCCGCAGCAAGAGTGTCTCGACACGCAGGATCCACAGAAAGGGTTCGCCGCCAGCAAAACAAATTCGCACGGCGCCACAGCGAGAGCGCTTCGACACGCGCAATCTCCGCAGAGGGTTCGCCGAGCTCAAGACGCATTCGTTCGGCGTCACAGCGAGAGCGCTTCGACACGCAGGATCTACGCAAAGGGTTCACTTTCGTCTTGCACCGCTTGCAAACAAGTGAAACGCTGCGCCTGCCACGAAATTCACAGACCCTGCTTACGAAACTGCTGCGCCTGCCACGCAGCCTATAGCGTCAGCGCAAAACATACCGCGCCCGCCACAAAAAAAACGCGCGGCAGTCTCACAGATGCTGCGCTGGCCATCGAATGCTGCGTCGATACGCAAATTCGAAGATCGGCGCGGCGCCACAGCGAGAGCGCAATTTTGAAGAAAGGTCCGTTTCATGCGAAGCCGCTTTTTGCGACAACTGCCATGGCTTTAGAGCTCCGATTGTCCAAGCGTCGCAGCCTGACCCGACAAGAAGCCATCGCTGCGTGGCGGCCCTGCCATGAAAAAAACGCACTTTGCTTTCAAAAAACGCGCTTGGTGCGAGGCTTCAAGCCTCAAAAAACACACCCCGCGTCGCATCGCAAACCTCCGTGCCCTGCCAGCAAAAGACATTGCTCTTCAAAAAGACGCGTTTGGCGCGAGGCTTCCTCAAAAAACATGGCGCGAACCTCCCAACTGTGGCCCTCGCCAGCCAAAAAAATGCGAACGGCGCCACAGCGAGCCGCGCGTACGAAGACAGCTTTTTACGCACAGGGCCAGAGTGCGAACCGATCTAACCCGGCCCGAACTCTTACCGTAAGAATCCTTTAGCGTAAGCACTATTTGGGGAATGAAGTAAACGTGAACACTATGAGTTGGGGAAGAGAGCCCTGCAGGAAGCTCGGCAGCTCTACCAGGCAGCGCGAACTTGTGGTGTCAATGCTATCTCAAGTCTTGAATTGCCTTGCAGGAGCTTGAGCAGCTGAAGGCAATCAGACTCAGCACAACGCTGGAAGAGGTTTGCGTTCACGTGTATGTCCATGTGTTTGTTTGGCCGCTTGCATGTCTGTGAGATACTGGCCTGGCAAGCTTGGTGTAATTCCAGGAGGCTGGTTCCGCGCAAAAGTCTTCAGCAGCTGAGCAGGCCAGGGCACCATGCAGTTTTTGAGCCGTTTGAGGGATTTGCTGTGCAGGAGTTACAGCAGCTTCGCAAGGTGCCTCCCGGCTGTGCAGCGATGTTTGCTCCAGATTTCCGCATTCGACATTGTTGCAGGAACTGGAGCAGCTCAAGGCTTCCAAAGCGGCTGGAAGTGCAACTCTGGAAGAGGAACATGTATGTTTGCTGGCGTGTTGAGGTTCGTTTGGATTTGATTTTGCAGCTCTGACTTCATATTTGCAGAATGCAGGACCTTCGAAATTCCGAAGAGGCCTCAAGCGGTCGTACTTCATGTTTCACATTTGGGGACACTTCCTGCGAGCGTTGGCCCTTGATACACCACTGATACACCACCCCAGTTCGGGAAGGAAGACTTGGACGATTCCTCCTATTCCTCAGTAAACTCTGATAGCCCGACGTTCAGCCAAAACCAGCTTTTGAATGAAAGCTGGACAAGTCGTTGCCATCCACAAGCGACCTGTGACGAATTCCGAAGTAGTGACGCCGAGCCGTGGCTGAGATCTGCTCCTTTTGCCGCGTTGGGAGAGCCACCAGCTGTGCAGGAAGTAAGAAAGCTCCGACAGGCAACCGCATGTTTGATGCCTGCTTCAGTTTTCATGCGTCTTTCTTTTGTCACCAGTGCAAGCAAGGTACCGGCAGGTACCGGATGACCCAGACTTCATGCATTGAATTACTCTGATGCAGGAGCTTGAGCAGCTGAAGACATCGAAGTTGACTGGAAGTGCAACGCTGGAAGAGGTTTGCGTTCACGTGTATGTCCATGTGTTTGTTTGGCCGCTTGCATGTCTGTGAGATACTGGCCTGACAAGCTTGGTGTAATTCCAGGAGGCTGGTTCCGCGCAAAAGTCTTCAGCAGCTGAGCAGGCCAGGGCACCATGCAGTTTTTGAGCCGTTTGAGGGATTTGCTGTGCAGGAGTTACAGCAGCTTCGCAAGGTGCCTCCCGGCTGTGCAGCGATGTTTGCTCCAGATTTCCGCATTCGACATTGTTGCAGGAACTGGAGCAGCTCAAGGCTTCCAAAGCGGCTGGAAGTGCAACTCTGGAAGAGGAACATGTATGTTTGCTGGCGTGTTGAGGTTCGTTTGGATTTGATTTTGCAGCTCTGACTTCATATTTGCAGAATGCAGGACCTTCGAAACTCTGAAGAGGCCTCAAGCGGACGTACTTCATGTTTCACATTTGGGGACACTTCCTGCAAGCGTTGGCCCTTGATACACCACTGATACACCACCCCAGTTCGGGAAGGAAGACTTGGACGATTCCTCCTATTCCTCAGTAAACTTTGATAGCCCGACGTTCAGCCAAAACCAGCTTTTGAATGAAAGCTGGACAAGTCGTGGCCATCCACAAGCGACCTGTGACGAATTCCGAAGTAGTGACGCCGAGCCGTGGCTGAGATCCGCTTCTTTTGCCGCGTTGGGAGAGCCACCAGCTGTGCAGGAAGTAAGAAAGCTCCGACAGGCAACCGCATGTTTGATGCCTGCTGCAGTTTTCATGCGTCTTTCTTTTGTCACCAGTGCAAGCAAGGTACCGGCAGGTACCGGATGACCCAGACTTCATGCATTGAATTGCTCTGATGCAGGAGCTTGAGCAGCTGAAGACATCGAAGTTGACTGGAAGTGCACCGCTGGAAGAGGTTTGCGTTCACATGCATGTCCATATGTTTGTTGGTTGGCCGCTTGCATGTCTTTGAGATACAGCTTGGTGTAATTCCAGGAGGCTGGTCCTGCGCAAAAGCCTTCAGCACCTGAGCAGGCCAGGGGACCATGCAGTTTTTGAGCCGTTTTGAGGGAGTCGGGGCGAAGACAGGTCTCAGGGGCTCCACAGCAGAGCGGCCGGGACCCCCGCCAAGCCGAGGAGGCTTCCGCCTGTGATGCAACACTTTGGGCAAGCAATCCCCAAAACAGACTTGAACGTTTGGCGAGAAGTCGCAACTCCGCAAAAGGTGCTAAAGCTCCGCGAGGCAGCTGCATATCGGATTGCGACGTCCTGTCTGTGAACTTATTTTGTGATATTTCTGTTCAGATCTCGTTCTGTTGGAGGAACTTGCGCAGCTCAAAGCAGCCAAAGAAGAGGCGTCGGCTCGTGCAAGCATTTCGCTCCATTCAACAGGCTGTTTCTTGTCCAAAGAGACATAATTCCAGCCTTACGCGATCTGGAGCTGGAAGCACACTAACTGTGGGACAAATTCCAAAGTAGTGACGCCGAGCCGTGACTGAGATCTGCTTCTTTTCGCCGCGTTGGGAGAGCCACCAGCTGTGCAGGAAGTAAGAAAGCTCCGACAGGCAACCGCATGTTTGATGCCTGCTTCAGTTTTCATGCGTCTTTCTTTTGTCACCAGTGCAAGCAAGGTACCGGCAGGTACCGGATGACCCAGACTTCATGCATTGAATTGCTCTGATGCAGGAGCTTGAGCAGCTGAAGACATCGAAGTTGACTGGAAGTGCAACGCTGGAAGAGGTTTGCGTTCACATGCATGTCCATGTGTTTGTTGGTTGGCCGCTTGCATGTCTTTGAGATACAGCTTGGTGTAATTCCAGGAGGCTGGTCCTGCGCAAAAGCCTTCAGCACCTGAGCAGGCCAGGGGACCATGCAGTTTTTGAGCCGTTTTGAGGGAGTCGGGGCGAAGACAGGTCTCAGGGGCTCCACAGCAGAGCGGCCGGGACCCCCGCCAAGCCGAGGAGGCTTCCGCCTGTGATGCAACACTTTGGGCAAGCAATCCCCAAAACAGACTTGAACGTTTGGCGAGAAGTCGCAACTCCGCAAAAGGTGCTAAAGCTCCGCGAGGCAGCTGCATATCGGATTGCGACGTCCTGTCTGTGAACTTATTTTGTGATATTTCTGTTCAGATCTCGTTCTGTTGGAGGAACTTGCGCAGCTCAAAGCAGCCAAAGAAGAGGCGTCGGCTCGTGCAAGCATTTCGCTCCATTCAACAGGCTGTTTCTTGTCCAAAGAGACATAATTCCAGCCTTACGCGATCTGGAGCTGGAAGCACACTAACTGTGGGACAAATTCCAAAGTAGTGACGCCGAGCCGTGACTGAGATCTGCTTCTTTTCGCCGCGTTGGGAGAGCCACCAGCTGTGCAGGAAGTAAGAAAGCTCCGACAGGCAACCGCATGTTTGATGCCTGCTTCAGTTTTCATGCGTCTTTCTTTTGTCACCAGTGCAAGCAAGGTACCGGCAGGTACCGGATGACCCAGACTTCATGCATTGAATTGCTCTGATGCAGGAGCTTGAGCAGCTGAAGACATCGAAGTTGACTGGAAGTGCAACGCTGGAAGAGGTTTGCGTTCACATGCATGTCCATGTGTTTGTTGGTTGGCCGCTTGCATGTCTTTGAGATACAGCTTGGTGTAATTCCAGGAGGCTGGTCCTGCGCAAAAGCCTTCAGCACCTGAGCAGGCCAGGGGACCATGCAGTTTTTGAGCCGTTTTGAGGGAGTCGGGGCGAAGACAGGTCTCAGGGGCTCCACAGCAGAGCGGCCGGGACCCCCGCCAAGCCGAGGAGGCTTCCGCCTGTGATGCAACACTTTGGGCAAGCAATCCCCAAAACAGACTTGAACGTTTGGCGAGAAGTCGCAACTCCGCAAAAGGTGCTAAAGCTCCGCGAGGCAGCTGCATATCGGATTGCGACGTCCTGTCTGTGAACTTATTTTGTGATATTTCTGTTCAGATCTCGTTCTGTTGGAGGAACTTGCGCAGCTCAAAGCAGCCAAAGAAGAGGCGTCGGCTCGTGCAAGCATTTCGCTCCACTCAACAGGCTGTTTCTTGTCCAAAGAGACATAATTCCAGCCTTACGCGATCTGGAGCTGGAAGCACACTAACTGTGGGACAAATTCCAAAGTAGTGACGCCGAGCCGTGACTGAGATCTGCTTCTTTTCGCCGCGTTGGGAGAGCCACCAGCTGTGCAGGAAGTAAGAAAGCTCCGACAGGCAACCGCATGTTTGATGCCTGCTTCAGTTTTCATGCGTCTTTCTTTTGTCACCAGTGCAAGCAAGGTACCGGCAGGTACCGGATGACCCAGACTTCATGCATTGAATTGCTCTGATGCAGGAGCTTGAGCAGCTGAAGACATCGAAGTTGACTGGAAGTGCAACGCTGGAAGAGGTTTGCGTTCACATGCATGTCCATGTGTTTGTTGGTTGGCCGCTTGCATGTCTTTGAGATACAGCTTGGTGTAATTCCAGGAGGCTGGTCCTGCGCAAAAACCTTCAGCACCTGAGCAGGCCAGGGCACCATGAAGTTTTTGAGCCGTTTTGAGGGAGTCGGGGCGAAGACAGGTCTCAGGGGCTCCACAGCAGAGCGGCAGGGACCCCCGCCAAGAGGCTTCAGCTGCTCGTGCTTCACATGATGTTTGAATCACTTGGCGAGTATTGGCCTTTGATGCAAGACAGAAGTCCCCAAGGAAGCCTTGGACAATTGTTCGGTGTCGCGAGAGTTTGCTGAAGCCACCATCGTCCTGAGCGGAGTTTGCTGGCCTTTTGTGGACATTTCCGCAGGAGAAGGAAAACGTCAAAGCAGCTGAAAAGCTGGCTGAAAGTGGCTCGGATTGGTGACTTCCATCGGCTTCTGATGCTTGCGACCTCAGGTGAGAAACAGCGAGAGGCTTTGCAACAGGCTCATGAGCTGCTTGGCGCGCATTCCCTTGTCTGCGAGTGTGTTGCCTATGCGTTCGCTTCTAGGAATATATTTTGCAGTGGAAGAGTGGGGACCTTCATTTGCACAGTGAGGCAAGAGAAGCAACGCCTGGAGGCAGAGAAGCAGGCACAGAAGGAGAAGGAGCTGGGCTCAAATTGCTACCGGACAAGGGTTAGAACGGCGGCTCCCGCCGACAAGGCAGGCCTGCCCTTGTATATTTCGTACCAGTATTCCCCTGGTATTTTCCGAGTATTCAACCTTAGTACTTCCCTAGTACTCCCTTAATATTCCCCTGGCCCCTAGCATTCCCCCTTATACTCCCCTAGTATTCTCCTGGTACTCCCCTAATATTTTGCAAGTATTCCCAAGTGTTCGCTCAGTATTCCCTCTGTATCCTCCTAGTATTCACCCTTAGTATTCCCCCATACTATTCTCCTGCTATTCCCGCGCGTAGTTCCCTGTTATCCGCTCGGTATTCGTCCAGTTCCTTTAGTATTCTATTAGTATACCACCCTCTAGTAATTCCTCAGTGTTCCACCAGTATTCCCTGGGCATTCCCCGAGTAGTCCATCTTCCCTCAATATTCCCTTAGTATTCCCCTTAGTATTCCCCTGAGTATTCCCCTAGTATTCCCCTATTCCTTTAGTGTTCTCTTACCGTGTTCCCCTTATGTTGCCCCAGTGTTTTCTTGGTACACAGAGTTCTCCCAGTATTTTTCTAGTATTCTAGTGTTTTCTTTTGTATTCCTGGGACCTTTGTTTGACCATGTTCGTTCTGCCTTCCAGGGACGTTCCCTAGCTGGGGATGCTTGTATGGGAAAGGTCCCCACAAGACACGAATAGTTTTTCTGAAAGGATTTGGGGTCCGGATTCGTGCTAAACGCGCCGTCTGATGTCCAGGCACCGGACATTCGTAGATGTTGGAAAGCAGGAGGAACACAGCAGCCACGCAAGGATTCCTAAGGATGCCAGGGATTCCAGCATGACACAGTCATACGCCAAGATGCTGAATATTGCAATGCCAGGGAACAGGGATGCGTTCCAGGCTGCGCTTGTGGTGTGTAGAGAGCTATCCTTGATGGTTGGCCGTAGGGCTTGGCACTATGCCAAGCGGCCCATTTTTTTGAAACCAACTTCCACAAGGCGGCATTTGCCTTCAGAGATTTTGCATCCACAGGGTGGGGCGATGCTCAGCACTTGGTCAAGAGCTTCGCGGGGTTTTAACGTTGGCTTGTTGAAATCGTTGTGGCTCAAGTGGCAGAGCATGTCTGCTGTGCAAATGTTTTCGGCGGCCCCCTTGTTCCAGGGTTGGTACAGGGAGCATCCCGCAGTCTTGGCCCACTGATGATTGGATCTCTGACTCGGGAGGGCATGCGCAGGTAATTGACCACAGGTTTGGCCTTTTGACTCTCATTTTATGATTATGGGAAGAACGGAAACTCCGTTGAGTCTACACATTCAGGGAGCCCAGGCGTCACAAGATAATCTCTGACCGTCCTTGGGGCACGTCCATTTTTGGGCGACGTTCACGGACTCGGGATTCAAACAAAGCGGCGCTGACTGCATCCGTTGTGGGGGTTTGGGATCAGGTGAACGATGTCAGAAGCGCTTGCTTCATTTGACCGCGCGGTAACAGCCAGATAGGACCAAGCGGCACCGGGGATGCAGGCAAGCCACCAGTAGGCACCGAGTCATACCTCTGATCTGAACTCAAGCGGGTTGGTTCCAAGTCGCGGCTTTTGGATATCCGTGGTTTCCGCAAGTCTAAATCAAGCCGTGGCCCTTGGCGCTACGGTGGATTTCGGAGCCTAGTCATGGGTTTGGGCCAATGCTAATGTCAAGGTGAAAGCTGGGAGAATGTGTCGAGGCATGCTGTACTTTGGGATCTAGGATGCTAAGTTCCAGCATCACCATCAGCCTTTGCTTCTCGTTGCCAGCTTCTTCCAGGAGCTGGACAGCGACTTCAAGGCAGCTGAAAAGCTGGCCGACAGTGGCTTGTATCAATGGTGTGCTCTCGAGGCATGTCATATATTTGATGCCTGTGATCCGAGATATGCAGAAGAAGTACTTCGAGGATTCAGAGGGCCTTGTATCCTTAGGCCTGGGACCGCTAAAAGTTGCAGGACCTCCAGTCAGCCTGTTGGACACTCTGGCAAAAGGCGGGTGCGCTTTTTGAGCACGTGGCTTCTTGAAGATCAGCAAGTTCGTTTGTAAAGGTCCACTCAGAAATGGTGACAGAAAAGCGACACGCCGCAGCCAAAAAGCAGCATGACGAAGAAGTTCAACGCATGAAAAAGGCGAGGCAGTCCATGTACCGAATATGCAAGTGGGCGAATGCTGAGTCCCAGACGGTATTGCTGCAACATATTCGCAGGAGGCCGCTGAAAAGGGCGAGCGGGCTTCAGAGCAAGTGGCCGAGAAGATGTTTCAGGCGGAACTGAGAGCTTGGGCGTCGAGTGTTTTGAAGGGATGCAAGGCTGAACGCACAGGACAAGTGCAAGGAACTCGTGGAGGAGGTCTACGAAGCATGGCTGGAGGAGGGCTTGAACTCGGGATGCTCTGCCAAAGTTGGAATTCCCAGTTTTGCCTTTGCAGGATCACCGTCAGGAGATGGCCGAGAAGAAGCGTCAGACCATGCAACAGGCTCATGAGCCGCTTGGTGCAAGCGCCGTCAATGCTGTGCATCGGACATGAGTTGTGCATCGGATCATGCGAAGAGCGGCCGTCGGCCGAGGCAAGAGAAGCAGCGCCTAGAAGAGGAGAGGCGAGCGGAGGCTGCACGCCTTGAGGAGGAGCGCAAGCAGAAGGAGAAGGAGCCCGAGAGTACCGATCAAAGCTTCGTTGGCGTGCGATTAGCTGCCATGGACAAAACTCGGGCCAGCAGATGAATGTCTCATTCGGGGCTCGCAGTGATCAATTGAACACAACGGCCCCCACCCCCCTTGCCCCATGATCGAGGACTGCGAGATCCTTGGATGACGGTTGCAGCCGTTCAGATTTCCCCAAAAGTCAGCGCCCGCAAGTTTCTGAAGGCTCTGTCTCCCGAGCGTTGGGCCTCTTCCCGAAGGCAGAGGTTCCCAAAGGTTTCCCAAGGCTTCTGCAAGTCCCCCTTTCTCAATTGACATTGCGTTGGTTTGGGCTTCTTGAAGTGATGCCACTTCTCTGCTGCATTTTTTGTCAGGCACACCTAGACCCCCACATGCATCCACGGACCCACGCATACACACACACATTGTTGATGACAAGACATTGATGTGTCGCATATACGCTTCTGCCTTGGTGCCTTTGGCTTCTTCGTCTGCTACGCAGCGCCCTTGCATGTTCACTTGTGCTGCTCATGCCGCATCCTGCTAAAAGGTTTGCCCTGCTCGTCTCAGGAGCTGTGCGGGGAGTATACCTCCTCACCTTAGAATAGTTTGAGCGGCATGAGGGCCGATTTTCTCCCAACTCCCCAACGATGTAAGCTTGCGGGCAGGCCAGCGGACATCAGTCAGCTTTGGCCACACGCCGGATTTGGTAGCAACCTCTTCCACTTCCTTGTGGTTGGCGCGGAAGGCTTACCGATTGGTCCGATGGTTGTTAAGAGTTTAAGGTTGGATTGCCGCAAATTGCCTCTGGCATTTTCATCTGAAGCATGCAAGTCGTCCCTGGACTTGTAGTCGTCTTCCTTGGAGGCCTCTTGCCTGACACTGGAGATGAGGTGACAGGGCTGCTCTCCTGATAACTTGCTCGGTCAGGCATGCTCATTTGAGCCATTGGCTTATGCAGAAGTACCACGTTGGCAAACAACGCCGATTCACCAAGCTCAATGTTGACATTCCTTGTTTGCAAGCACTCAGCCTAGTGTTGTTTTTCAAAGCTGGGGATGCTGTTGAGGGAGAGCCCCCGCTCTTGCAAAAGGTGTATTTTCAAGCTATGCAGTCTAAGGCAGGTTGACAACTAATGAATCACAGCGCCGAGGCGGAACATGGATTGCGTCTAGCACTGGCAAGCGATCACACGGGTCAAGACACTGCCATGTTGCAAGATCTTGCCATTTTCGTCTTGCAATTCTCAAGGGGATGCTGCAGATTCCTTGTCCGAAGTGTCCCATTTCCGGGCCGGGGTGAGGAGTCGGAGATTGCCCTGAAGAAGGCAGAGCGAGAGAAGCGCGAGGCCCTGCAGGAGGCGGAGCGCCTGAAAGCCTGGGAGGTGCGGCTCCGATGCCTTGCACTCGAGTTTGTTTCAAAAAATAATGCCACTTTCTCTTTTGCCACTTTCTCTCTTTTGCAACTTTCTCTCTTTTGCCACTTTCTCTCTTTTGCCACTTTCTCTCTTTTGCCACTTTCTCTCTTTTGCCACTTTCTCTCTTTTGGTACTTTCTTTCTTTTGCCACTTTCTCTTTTGCCACTTTCTCTCTTTTGCCGCTTTCTCTCTTTTGCCACTTTCTCTCTTTCGCCACTTTCTCTCTTTTGCCACTTTCTCTCTTTCGCCACTTTGTCTCGTTCGCCACTTTCTCTCTTTTGCCACTTTCTCTTTTGCCACTTTCTCTTTTGCCACTTTCTCTCTTTTGCCACTTTCTCTTTTGCCACTTTCTCGCTTTTGCAACTTTCTCTCTTTTGCCACTTTCTATCGTTTGTTACTTTCTCTCTTTTGCCACTTTCCCTCTTTTGCAACTTTCTCCCTTTTGCCACTTTCTCTCTTTCCACTTTCCCTCTTTTGCCACTTTCTCTTTTTGACCACTTTTTCTCTTTTGCCACTTTCTCTCTTTTGCCACTTTCTCTCTTTTGCCACTTTCTCTCTTTTGCCACTTTCTTTCTGTTGCCACTTTCTCTCTGTTGCAACTTTCTCTCTTTTGCCACTTTCTCTCTTTTGCCACTTTCTCCTCTTGCCATTTTCTCTTTTTTGCCACTTCCTCTTTTGCCACTTTCTCTCTTTAGCCACTTTCTCTCTTTTGCCACTTTCTCTCTTTTGCCACTTTCTCTCTTTTGCCACTTTCTCTCTTTTGCCACTTTCTCTCTTTTGCCACTTTCTCTCTTTTGCCACTTTCTCTCTTTTGCAACTTTCTTTCTTTTGCCACTTTCTCTCTTTTGCCACTTTCTCTCTTTTGGTACTTTCTTTCTTTTGCCTTTCTCTCTTTTGCCACTTTCTCTCTTTTGCCACTTTCTCTCTTTTGCCACTTTCTCTCTTTGGCCACTTTCTCTCTTTTGCCACTTTCTCTCTTTTGCCACTTTCTCTCTTTTGCCACTTTCCCTCTTTTGCCACTTTCTCTTTTTGCCACTTTCTCTCTTTTGCCACTTTCTCTCTTTTGCCACTTTCTCTCTTTTGCAGCTTTCTCTTTTGCCACTTTCTCTCTTTTGCCACTTTCCCTCTTTTGCCACTTTCCCTCTTTTGACACTTTCTCTCTTTTTCCACTTTCTCTTTTGCCACTTTCTCCTCTTTTGACACTTTCTCTCTTTTGCCTCTTTCGCTTTTGCCCCTTTCTCTCTTGCCACTTTCTCTTTTGCCACTTTCTCTCTTTTTGTCTTTCTCTCTTTTGCCACTTTCTCTGTTTCGCCACTTTCTCTTTTGCCACTTTCTCTCTTTTGTTACTTTCTGTCTTTTGCCACTTTCTCTCTTTTGCCACTTGTTTTTTTTTTCTACTTTCTTTGTTGCCACTCTTTTGCCACTTTCTCTCTTTAGCCACTTTCTCTCTTTTGCCACTTTCTCTCTTTAGCCACTTTCTCTTTTTTTGCCACTTTCTCTCTTTTGCCACTTTCTCTCTTTTGCCACTTTCTCTCTTTTGCCACTTTCTCTCTTTTGCCACTTTCTCTCTTTCGCCCCTTTCTCTTTTTTCCACTTTCTCTCTTTTGCAGCTTTCTCTTTTGCCACTTTCTCTCTTTTGCCACGTTCTCTCTTTTGCCACTTTCTCTCTTTTGCCACTTTCTCTCTTTTGGTACTTTCTCTCTTTTGCCACTTTCTCTCTTTTGCCACTTTCTCTCTTTTGCCACTTTCTCTCTTTTGCAACATTCTCTCTTTTGCCCCTTTCTCTTTTTTCCATTTTCTCTCTTTTGCAGCTTTCTCTTTTGCCACTTTCTCTCTTTTGCCACGTTCTCTCTTTTGCCACTGTTTTTTTTGCCACTTTCTCTTTTGCCACTCTCTTTCTTGCCACTTTCTCTTTTGCCACTTTCTCTCTTTTGCCACTTTCTCTCTTTTGCCACTTTCTCTCTTTTGCCACTTTCTCTCTTTTGCTACTTGATCTTTTGCCACTTTCTTTCTTGCCACTTTCTTTCTTTTGCCACTTTCTCTCTTTTGCCACTTTCTCTCTTTTGGTACTTTCTTTCTTTTGCCACTTTCTCTCTTTTGCCGCTTTCTCTCTTTTGCCACTTTCTCTCTTTTGCCACTTTCTCTCTTTTGCCACTTTCTCTCTTTTGCCACTTTCTCTCTTTTGCAACTTTCTCTCTTTTGCAACTTTCTCTCTTTTGCAACTTTCTCTCTTTTGCAACTTTCTCTCTTTTGCCACTTCCTCTCTTTTGCCACTTTCTCTCTTTTGCCACTTTCTGTTTTGCCACTTTCTCTCTTTTGCCACTTTCTCTCTTTTGCAACTTTCTCTCTTTTGCCACTTTCTCTCTTTTGCCACTTTCTCTCTTTTGCCACTTTCTCTCTTTTGCCACTTTCTCTCTTTTGCCACTTTCTCTCTTTTGCCACTTTCTCTCTTTTGCCACTTTCTCCTCTTGCCATTTTCTCTTTTTTGCCACTTCCTCTCTTTTGCCACTTTCTCTCTTTAGCCACTTTCTCTCTTTTGCCACTTTCTCTCTTTTGCCACTTTCTCTCTTTTGCCACTTTCTCTCTTTTGCCACTTTCTCTCTTTTGCCACTTTCTCTCTTTCGCCACTTTCTCTGTTTTGACACTTTCTCTCTTTCGTCACTTTCTCTCTTTTGTTACTTTCTGTCTTTTGCCACTTTCTCTCTTTTGCCACTTTCTCTCTTTTGCCACTTTCTCTCTTTTGCCACTTTCTCTCTTTCGCCACTTTATTTCTTTTGCTACTTTCTCTCTTTTGCCACTTTCTCTCTTTTGCCACTTTCTCTCTTTTGCCACTTTCTCTCTTTTGCCACTTTCTCTCTTTTGCCACTTTCTCTCTTTGGCCACTTTCTCTCTTTTGCCACTTTCTCTCTTTTGCCACTTTCTCTCTTTTGCCACTTTCCCTCTTTTCTAAGGCTTTCTCTTTATTGGTGGCTCTTTGCACTTTCTCTCTTTTGCCACTTTCTCTCTTTTGCCACTTTCTCTTTTTTGCCACTTTCTCTCTTTTGCCACTTTCTCTCTTTTGCCACTTTCTTTCTTTTGCCACTTTCTCTCTTTCGCCACTTTCTCTCTTTCGCCACTTTCTCTCTTTTGCCACTTTCTCTCTTTCGCCACTTTCTCTCTTTTGCCACTTTCTCTCTTTTGCCACTTTCTCTTTTGCCACTTCCTCTCTTTTGCCACTTTCTCTCTTTCACCACTTTCTCTCTTTTGCCACTTTCTCTCTTTCGCCACTTTCTCTCTTTTGCCACTTTCTCCTCTTGCCATTTTCTCTTTTTTGCCACTTCCTCTCTTTTGCCACTTTCTCTCTTTTGCCACTTTCTCTCTTTTGCCACTTTCTCTCTTTTGCCACTTTCTCTCTTTTGCCACTTTCTCTCTTTTGCCACTTCCTCTCTTTTGCCACTTTCTCTTTTGCCACTTTCTCTCTTTTGCCACTTTCTCTCTTTTGCCACTTTCTCTCTTTTGCAACTTTCTCTCTTTTGCCACTTTCTCTCTTTTGCCACTTTCTCTCTTTTGCCACTTTCTCTCTTTTGCCACTTTCTCTCTTTGGCAACTTTGTCTCTTTTGCCATTTTCTCTCTTTTGCCACTTTCTCTCTTTTGCCACTTTCTCTTTCTTTTGCCACTTTCTCTTTCTTTTGCCACTTTCTCTCTTTGCCACTTTCTCTCTTTCGCCACTTTCTCTCTTTTGCGACTTTCTCTCTTTTGCCACTTTCTCTCTTTTGCCACTTTCTCTATTTTGCCACTTTCTCTGTTTTGCCACTTTCTCTCTTTTGCCACTTTCTCTCTTTTGCAACTTTCTCTCTTTCGCCTTTTTCTCTC